TTTCGAAGATCACCGGCCGTTAGCCAATCAAAATCGAGGATCATCCGCGCATTTTTTGTGCGGCACCTAGGTTTAATCAACCGTAACCCGGAAAAAATAAATGCCGATCTCCCTGCAACAAACCAGTTGGGCCCGGGTTTCCCAACTGAAACAAAACGCCGATCCCATAGAGAAAAGCCATCTACCCGATTTGGTTTGACAGCTGTCAAAATCATATTACCTTGTTGGTGAATGGATCATGAACTGGAAGGAGTGGGCATTCTTAGAATTGCCTTCTAAAATAACGAAGGCTGAGTTACAGGAAGGAATAAAGCGTGGGTAAATTAACCAAAATCGGTTTTAGATGATGGGAAAAATAAGTAATAGAAGCATCGAATATTTCTTATTACTTCTTGTTGTAATTCTTATAAATACGGGTTGGAAACTCCTCTTGCAAAAGAGTAGAGAAGAAACGCCCTAAAAAAGATAATAAATAAATAAATTGTATCCCAATAAATTCGTTAAATAAGACTCCTAATACACAACGTTCCTTAAATTCACTCACCCTAAAGAAAAATAAATAATATACTCAAGGTTTGCCTTAGACCTTTGCCAAATCAATTTCCGCCTCGCCTTTACGTTACGCGACGTCGACGAATTTTAAGCGACAATTCGTCGCATTTTCGCCTTCTCTGTTGAAGCAATTTTGGCAGTCCCACCAGTAACAGTAGATAAACAAAAATTATAGAATATTTTAATTTATGAAATAAGCTGTAATTCGGAGGTTTGCCTTAAAAGACTTAAATACCGTATTGTCTGGTGAAATCTATTTCCAAAATGACTGAGGACGAAACTTAAGTCCAAAAAGACGAAAGTCGAAACCTTTTACCGCTTGGCGAAATGTCGAAGCCTTGACGAAATTCTATCTCACAAACGTGTCGGCTTCGTGATTTCCAAGTCATGATGGCTTAAAGTAAATTGCGGTAAACCTTTCTTTAGCTTAAAAATTAATGTCCTGATGCTTTTTATGGCATAGACTAGGTTTCTTAAAAGATGAATAGCGGTAGAAACACATACCTAGCTTAGTATTAATCAAAAACAAGTTATGCGGTTGAGCTTTTAAAATACGGCTTTATACAGTTATATATTTATTTATAATACATATTAAATTTTTTTTTTTTATTGTTCTAATTGTTTGTTATACAATACCAGCAATACTTTTCTGATAGACAAAAAAATTACAATGAAAAAATGGCTTCATATTGATATTTTGACTCTATATGAATTTTTAAACAAATTAGGATTATAAGCTTAGTTATAAATTGATGAGGTTCTATTTACCAAATTCATGAAATTTTAATAATTATTGTCACGGATGACCGTGAAATCGGATGATTGTGAAATCAAACCCTATTAAAATATGTATATGATTTTTAAAAATTTTTAGGGTACATTTTTTTAGGCCATTTATAAAGATTATAAGTTGGTTTGAATAGGGTTTATATTTATAAATTAAGGCCCCAAATTTCTCGATCACCATTATCTGCGACAATTATTTTAGAAGCATCTATTAGCTATTTCTTTTTTCTTTGTCGCTTCGTTCAATGTTAAAATAATTTCTAAATTATATATTATAGTAAATTTCTAATTCTTGTGGCTGCTCTAAAATAATACATAATATAGCCATTCTCTTAACTTTGGACACCTTATCATGAGTACAGGAAAATAGTATCATAGTAAAAATCTTCTAAAAAAGTTTAGAGCTACTAAAATATCATTAGCAAAATTACCAGGTTAGTACTCTTTGATATAATAACTGAGAACTATATTTTAATAGTTAAAAAGCAGTAGATGGTGTCAATTATGTAATTCAAAAAGTATTTTACTTAGTGAGGCACATTTAAAGAAAAGCGATGTGCAAGTTAACCAAGGTGAAATATTTGAAATTTGCTTTTTTTTTTTTTAGAATTGATGAGTTAATTTAAAAAAAAATTTATATTCTTTTTTTTTTACATAGTAATTTTGAATTTATAATTCAAGTACAGTATTTTGTCAAGGAACTAGACTTCTAAAGTGATAGAAATTATAAGGAACTAAATAGTAGAACCGATTATTTAAATCTTTGAACAAATTTACAGATCGTTTGGCCAACCCTTAAAGTGATAATAAATAGGGCTGGCTATAAATATAAGAAATTCGAGTTCTAATGTAAATATATGCGGCAAGTTAATAGAAATCAAGCAAATTTTTTATTAAAAAATTTTTTATAACTTTAAACAAGAACAGCTTAACAAAACTTTAACCAAATTTAATAAAAATTTTTTTTTACATAATTGTTACAAACTTGTGGAATTAATTTAATTAAATTTGGTAAAGTTTTTGTTAGTATTCTTGTTTAAAGGTTTTAAAAAAAAAAAAATTTATTAAAAAATATTCGCATGTTTTCTATTGACTTAACTCCATATTTTGGCATATTTAAATAAGTTAATCTCAGATTGCAGGGATCAATTCTAATTATTCGATTCTTGTATTATGTAAATTAAATGGTGAAAAAAAAAAAACGATCAAAATCCATTATTAAGGTTTAATATTGTAGAATTTAATTCACCTCAAAGAGACTTCTCAAATATGATCGTTAAACTTCGGGATCAATTTGGTAAAATACTTTTATCCATCAAAATATCCTTGTGTTTTTATAAAATAGAATCAATGATAAATTTATTAATAAAAAGTCACTGATTTATTATTACTCGAATAATTTCTCCAATATAACGATAATTTTTGTGATTTTATAATTAATATATATTATGCAACTATTAAAAAAAACTTAAATGCACTGTAAAAAAAAAGTAAAAAATTTTATTTTTTTAAAAAAAAAATAATTATAAAACTTTTAATTTGAGCTAAGTAATCAATAATAATAATAATAATAATAATAATAATAAGATGATGATGGTAATGATAATAATAATTATTATTATGAAAATACAGTAAAGTTTTAAAAGTGTTCAAATATTATCATAACTTTCAATTTTCTAAAAACAACAATACTTCAGATATAAATCTACAGACGCTTAATAGTTAATGTTTTCAAATCAAGAAATTTACCACAATATTTTACGAAATTTTCAAATTCCAATTCACTAAAATTTGTATTTAAACCCAAAAATGTTAATGTGGTTGGCAAGTTTGGAACTAAATTAAGATAATGTTCGTAGCTTGCTCTATACCAATCAATATGAAGAGATTTAAGAGATGATTGCTTTAGAAAAGTATATATTAAGTAGACCGAATTTGCACTTGAATTAGAAATAACAAACTCTTTAAGATTTGAACAGTGAATTATTAGTGTATTTGCAATTTCTTGACTTAATTTATCCAGATGTAAAACTTCTAGAGTTGACCCCCACATAGTAATTAATGGGATAATAATAAATGTTTGATCTAAGCTTAAATTTGTAATGAATCTTGAACCTGTTAATTCGAATTTTTTTAAATGCAATTTGTTCTTAGATAGTAAAGTGCAAAGTTTTAATGTCATTCCTTGACAATGATTAAAACTAATTCTAACTAAGTTTTGGCATTTAGAAATATTT